GCCTCCACAGCTAAGGGGCTCCCCGGGGGCCCCCGGGGGGCCCCCGAGGGGCCCCCGGGGGCCCCCGGGGCCCCTGGGGGCCCCCCTTCCTGGGGGCCCCTGGGGGCCTCTGGGGGCCCCCAGGGGCCCTTAGGGGCTGCATAGTAGCTTCCAAAGAGGCCCCTAAAGGGCTTCTAAACCGGCCCTGGGGGCCCCCAGTAAATCGCACAGTGTCTCTAATGGAGGGGCCCCTAGGGGGCCCCTGTAGGGGCCCCTAGGGGGGCCCCCCATTCGCTCCAGGGGCTTACAGCTGGCCCCCAAGGGCCCCCAAGGGGCCCCCAAGAGGCCCCCCGGGGGCCCCCAGGGGCCCCGAGGGGGCCCCCAGGGGCCCCGAGGGGGCCCCCAGGGGCCCCCCGGGGCCCCCAGGGGCCTCCAGGGGCCCCCCAGGGGCCCCCAAGGGTCTTTGTTCTTCTCCGTTTGCAGGGGCCCCCCAGTGCCTCTTTGTCTTCTCTGAGGGGCCCCCCAGGGGCCCCCAATTGCCTCTTATCCGGGGGGCCCCCGGGGGCCCCCCCTAAGGGGGCCCCTTCCCTTGTTTGGGGGCCCCAAAAAGGCTCAGGGGCCCCCGTTGCCTCTTCTTTTAGGAGGGCCCCCTGGGGGCCCCTGGGTTTGTCTTTTGTGGCTTATGCAGTGTCGTGGCGAGGGTTTAGGGTTTAGGGTTTAGGGTTTGGGAGGCAGCTTTTATGGCTCGGCGCTGCAGGGTTTTTATTTGTCTGTTTGTTGCTGCAGCGGCTGCAGCTGCTGCTGCGGCCGCTGCTGCTGCGGCTGTTGCTGCTGCGGCTGTTGCTGCTGCAGCAGCTGCTGCTGCAGCAGCAGCAGCTGCTGCTGCAGCAGCAGCAGCTGCTGCTGCTGCTGTTTTATTGGGGGCAGCCCCGTGTCTTTGTCTCTTTCTGTTCCTTTTGTCTCGAAATGAATTTTTTGCTCAAGTGGATCTTTATTGTTAAATGCAACAAAAGAAAACAAATAAATTAAAAATAAATAAATAAATATATTTTAAAAAGCAAATGCAGCAAATAATAATAATTAAATAATTGAAATTAGAAGCAAATGGTCAACTAGTGAGCCGAAGTTCCACTTCTGGGCTCCTGCTGCTGCTGCTGCAGCAGCAGCACGGGGAGCTGCTGCAGCAGCAGCAAAGAGACACAAGCGAAAGAAGAAAAGGGCCTTGCCGGCCTGCTGCAGCAGCAGCAGCAGCAGCAGCAGGTGGTGCTGCTGCTAATGCGGAGACGGGCAACTCGCGCTGCTGCTGCAGCTGCGCCTGCTGTGGAAACAAGCAGCTCGCGCTGCTGCTGCTGCTGCTGCTGCTGCTGCTGCTGCTGCTGCTGCTGTGGCTGTTACTGCGGCGATGCTGCAGCTGCTGCAGTACCTGCTGCTGCTGAGCTTTAAAAAGGCTAGCGATGATGGCGGCGTTTTGCCTCTGCTGCAGCAGCAGCAGTTGCTGTTGCTGCTTAAAGCAGCTGCTGCAGCAAAGCAGCTGCTGCAGCAGGTGTTGCTGCTGCTGCTGCTGCTGTATTAAATTGTCTTTTTGTCGGCTTCTTGTGGCTGCAGCGCCGACTTGCTGCTGCTGCTGCTGCTGCTGGTGGCAGCTTTGTACAGAGCCAGTGCGAGCAGCAGCAGCAGCAGCAGCAGCAGCGCCGCAGCAGCGAGCAGCAGCAAGTTGTGGCAGCAAACCCTAACCCGCATGCGCTCAGCAGCAATAATAGAATCCGAGAAATAATAAAGAGCATTTAAAGTTGCTGTTACTTCGTTGCGTTCCAAATGCGTCAGAGAGGCATCTTCCGTCACCGCCTGCAGCAGCAGCAGCAGCAGCAGCAGCAGCAGCAAGCAGTTAGTTACGCAGAGGCTGCAGCAGCAGCAGCAGCAGCAGCAAGTAATTACGCAAACGCTGCAGCAGCAGCAGCAGCGAGTAGCTACACAAAGGCTGCAGCGACGCAGGACGCAGCGGCAGCTGTTGCTGCTTGCTTCATGCAAGTGGATCAAGCAAGCAGCAGCAGCAGCAGCAGCAGCAGCAACAGCAGCAACAGCAGCACGGCAAGCAGCATCACTAACACAACCACCACTACTAGAAGCAGCAGCGGGAGCAGCAACAGCAGCACAATCAGCAGCAGCAGCAAAAGCAGTTGCAGCATCAGCAAAAGCAGCAGCAGCACTATCAGCAGCAGCAGCACCATCATTACCATCACCAGCAGCAAATCATCATCTTCAGCAGCACAATCAGCAGCAGCAGCAGCAGCACAATCATCAGCAGCAGCAGCAGCACAATCAGCAGCAGCAGCAGCAAACCTTTGCAGCAAGTTTGAGTGCAGTGAGTTTGATGGTGCCGTGCAGAAGACACTTCTCAGCAGCAGCAGCAGCACTATCAGCAGCAGCAGCAGCACTATCAGCAGCAGCAGCAGCGGCAGCAGCAAACCTTTGCAGCAAGTCTGAGAGCAGTGAGTTTGATGGTGCCGTGGAGAAGACACTTCTCCTCAGCAGCAGCAGCAGCACAATCAGCAGCACCAGCAGCACTATCAGCAGCAGCAGCACCAGCAGCACTATCAGCAGCAGCAGCAGCAGCAGCACAATCAGCAGCAGCAGCAGCAGCAGCAGCAAACCTTTGCAGCAAGTCTGAGAGCAGTGAGTTTGATGGTGCCGTGGAGAAAACACTTCTCAGCAGCAGCAGCAGCACTATCAGCAGCAGCAGCAGCACTATCAGCAGCAGCAGCAGCACTGTAAGCAGCAGCAGCAGCAGCAGCAGCAGCAGCAGCAGCAGCAGCAGCAGCAGCAAACCTTTGCAGCAAGTCTGAGAGCAGTGAGTTTGATGGTGCCGTGGAGAAGACACTTCTCAGCAGCAGCAGCAGCAGCAGCACTATCAGCAGCAGCACTATCAGCTGCAGCAGCAGCAGCAGCAGCAGCAGCAGCAGCAGCAGCAGCAGCAGCAGCAGCAAACCTTTGCAGCAAGTCTGAGTGCAGTGAGTTTGATGGTGCCGTGGAGAAGACACTTCTCAGCAGCAGCAGCAGCACTATCAGCAGCAGCACAATCAGCAGCAGCACTATCAGCAGCAGCAGCAGCACTGTAAGCAGCAGCAGCAGCAGCAGCAGCAGCAGCAGCAGCAGCAAACCTTTGCAGCAAGTCTGAGTGCAGTGAGTTTGATGGTGCCGTGGAGAAGACACTTTTCGCAGGAGACGCAGCGCAGCAAAGACTCAATGCCTTCCGCGCTTTCCAAAAACGCCAAATCGCTGCAGCAGCAGCAGCAGCAGCAGCAGCAGCAGCAAATAACAAATAAATAATAAATAAATAAATAAATAAATAAATAAATAAATAAATAAATAAATAAAAATGAATAAACAAAGAATAAATAAGTAATGGTCATTTGTCGCAGGACGGGAGGGGGTGCTGCACGCTGGCTGCCGAGGGTGGGCAAGCAGCAGCAGCAGCCGCAGCAGCAGAATGAGCAGCAGCAGCAGCAGCAGCAGCAGCAGAGTGAACAGCAGCTACAGCAGCAGAGGAAGCAGCAAGTTCTTGCAGCAAGGCCAACACAAGCAGCAGCAACGAACGGAGCAGCAAGAACACAAGCAGCAGCAGAAAACACAGCAGCAGCAAAAATAGCAGCAGCAACCATAGCAGCAGCAAAACCAGCAGCAGCAGCAAAACCAGCAGCAGCAGCAGCAGCAACGGACCTGTCTCGTTTGAACAGCGGCTGCTGGTATTTGCTGCTGCATGCAGAAAGCTGCGAAGCTGTTGCATTTAATACCTGCAGCAGCTCTGCGCGGGCTGGCAGGTCATCCGAGCTGTTGCCTGCAGCAGCAGCAGCAGCAGCAGCAGCAGCAGCAGCAGCAATGTTGTGTACAGAAGGGACCGAAGTAAATGTTGCGAGCTTTCGAAGCAGCAGAAGCTGCTGCTGCCCGTGAGGGATCAGCAGCAGAGGCTGCATCACCGCCACCGCAGCAAACGTCAGCAGCAGCAGCAGCAGCAGCAGCAGCAGCAGCAAGGGCGCTGCGTGAACCGCGCAGCATTCAAACTAGTCCGCGAGCAGCAGCAGCAAAAGCACGGCCGCAGCGAAAAGCAGCAGCACCGCCCAACAACAGCAGCAAAAACAGCAGCAGCAGCAGCAGCAGCAGCAGCAGCAGCAGCAGCAGCAGCAGACCGGTCTCGCAGCTGCACTCCTGCAGCACATCGGTCAAGGAACAAACTCCCTTCAAGATCAAAGCAAAAGTGAAATACAAATTTTTAATTCTTTCGGGATGGAGGGAAAAGCGGGAAAGGTAGAAAGAGACGGAGGGCGCGGGGGTGGGCGGCGGCGGCAGCTCGAAGTCCTGCTGCTGCTGCTGCTGCTGCTGCTGCTGCTGCTGCTGCTGCTGCTGGTAGTGCTGCGACATTTTGCTGTAGAAGTACTCCCCAGCCAGCACGGATATGTTCGACTGCATCCCCGAAAGCACCATGGACAGCTTTGCTGCGTTCCCGCAGGTCTTCACGTCTTCCTGCTGCTGCTGCTGCTGCTGCTGCTGCTGCTGCTGCTGCTGCTGCTGCTGCTGCTGCTGCTGCTGCAGCTCCTGCTGCTGCAAACGGTACAGCTGCTGCTGCAGCGCCCCCCAAATCGGACCCCCTTGGTACTCTGTGTAGCCTGGGGGATTCCGCATGAGGTCTACGTACACCAGAGGCTCTGGTGCTGCTGCTGCATCTTTGCTTTTGCTGCTGCTGCTGCTGCTGCTGCTGCTGCTGCTGCTGTTGCCGCTGAAGGGCGCGTCTGGCGTCAGGGAGGACTCCTTCCACCGGTAGAACGAAGCTGCAGCAATAGATAAAACATGCAGCAGCAGCAAATGCAGCAGCAGCAGCAACTGCAGCAGCAGCAGCAACTGCAGCAGCATTTGCTGCAGCAGTGTTTGCCAGTCCCCACAATAGCCTTAAGAGCAGCAGCAGCAGCAGCAGCAACAACGAAGCCGCCTCGGCAACGCGCAGCCGCAACCCAGCCAACAGAAGCAGCAGCAGCAACAGCAGCAGCAGCACCGTTGCTCCCATCAGCAGCAGCAGCAGCAGCACCGTTTCCCCCATCAGCAGCAGCAGCAGCAGCACCGTTGCCCCCATCAGCAGCAGCAGCAGCAGCACCGTTGCCCCCATCAGCAGCAGCAGCAGCAGCACCGTCTCCCCCATCAGCAGCAGCAGCAGCAGCAGCATCGGCACCCGCACCCCCAGCAGCACTTCCCCTCCAGCAGCAGCAAAAGCCCCCGCAATCTCCGCAGCAGCAGCAGCAGCAGCAGCACCCCCAGCAGCAGCAGCAGCACCCCCAGCAGCAGCAGCAGCACCCCCAGAAGCGGCAGCAGCACCCCCAGCAACAGCAGCAGCACCCCTAGCAGCAGCACCCCCAGCAGCAGCAGCAGCACCTCCAGCAGCAGCAGCAGCACCCCCAGCAGCAGCAGCAGCAGCAGCAGCAGCAGCAGCAGCAGCAGACCTGCGTGTCTCCTGTCCACGAAGTCTTCCTGGGGTTTATTTCTCCAAGAAAGAGGAACTTGGTCATCAGTGCACATGCAAAGGCCGCACTTTTCTGGGGCGACGCATTTGCCTTCATCTGCTGCAGCAGCAAACATTGCTGCTGCTGCTGCTGCTGCTGCTGCTGGCGGGGAGGCGGGTCCCGCCCCCAGCCACAGCCTGCTGCTGGCCGCGTCTGCTGCTGCTGCGCTGCTGCTGCTGCTGCTGCTGCTGCTGGCGTCGGGGCTGTGCGGGTAGACGCTGTGGGGCGTCAGCTGCGTCTGCTGCTGCTGCGTCTGCTGCTGCAGCAGCAGCTGCTGCTGCTGCTGCTGCTGCTGCAGCTGGCGGTCCGTCAGCAGCAGCAAGTCCCGCCGACAAGTCTTCTGCTGAATATTTAATTTAAATATTCTAAAAAATGTCCGCCGCTTTAGCTGCTGCAGCAGCGGGTGCAGCAGCCGCGCGTCTTCCAGCAGCAAACTCATGTCTGGGGTGTGCAGACACCTGAACGCCAACACAACACATTGCTGCTGCTGCTGCTGCTGCTGCTGCTGCTGCTGTTGCTGCTGCGCTCGTGGGGGTTCCTACAGTTGCAGCTGCTGCTGCTGAGGCAGAAATAACAGCTACTGCGGCTGCTCGGACAACAGCAACAGCAACTGCTGCTGCTGCTGCTGCTGCTGCTGCTGTTATTGCTGCTGCTGCTGCTGCTGCTGCTGCTGCTGCTGCTGCTTACTCGGGGAAGTGCTCGTCAGGCAGCAGCAGACGCCTCAGCTGCAGCGCTTCAGGCAGGTAAGAGAAGAGGTCGACTAGCTGCTGCGGGGGAGCAGCAAAAGCCCCGACGATCTGCTGCTGCACAGCAGCAGCAGCAGCAGCAGCTGCTGCTGCTGCATGGCCGTAAACAGTGGTTGTTGCTGCTGTTGCTGCTGAACCCGCGAGCGACCCCAACACAGAAAGCGAACCGGCGTCCAGAAGCAGCACGCTGCAGCAGCAGCAAACTGCTGCTGCTGCTGTCAGCAAAGCTAGCTGCTTGCAGCGAATCTCCATCGCTCCAGCAGCAGCAGCAGCAGCAGCAGCAGCAGCAGCAGAGCGGATTAAATGTCCCTGGCCCCCTGCAAGAGGCAAAATGCCGCTGCGGGGCTGTTTGTTCTGCTGCTGGAGCTGCTGCTTGGCTCTGAGCTCGTGCTGCTGCTGCCAAGCGCCAGCTGCTGCTGCTGCTGCTGCAGCGGTTTCTGCTGCAGACACTGCTGCTGGCCTTGCTGCTGCTGCTGCTGCTGAGGCCGACGCGGAAAGCCAAAGAACTTGCGCACCACCGTTTCGGGCGCTCACCTTACAGCTGCTGCTGCTGCTGCTGCCACGGCTGCTGCTGCTGCTGCTGCTGCTGCTGCTGGTGTCTTGGCATCTGCAGCAGACACTCGGGCCGAGATTACCTCAAGAGGAAGCGGGGGATTTCTGGGAGTTCGCTGGGGACGGCTGGAAGCAGCAAGCCACGCTTTGAGTCGGTGCAGCAGCAGCAGCAGCAGCAGCAGCAGCAGCGGAAGCAGCAGCGGCGGTGACTGGGCAGCAATCGACACACAGAGTCAATTATACAAAAGAATACAAAACAAACAATTTAATTTGGTCTTTGGGCTGCGCCGAGAGGCTCCGGGGCCGAAGCAAATGCGCAGCAGCAGCAGCAGCAGCGGCAGCAGCAGCGGAAGCGACAGCAGCAGCAGCAGCAGCAGCAGCAGGAAGCCCGAAATAAATCCAACCTCCCGAATTTTGTATGCATTTTTTTATATTTGGAAGTTTCTCAAGCTGCTCTTGTCGGTGCTGCAGCTCGATTAGCTGCTGGTGCTGCTGTCGTTGTTGCTGCTGCTGCTGCGGCTGCTACATTTGCTGCTGCTTGTCTTGCTGCTGTGTTGCTGCTGCTGCAGTCTTGTTTATCCAGAAAGTGTCGCTGCAGTGAGAACTGCAGCAGATTTGGATTTGCTGCAGCAAGGGTTTAGGCTTTGGTGCTGTCGCCAGCCAGGCGCTTGTCGGCTGCAGCAGCAGCTGCTGCAGTACTTGCTGCTGCTGCTGCTGTTGCTGCTGCTTGTGCTGTTGCTGCTGTTACTGCTGCTGTTTCCGTTCTTGCTGCCGCTGCTCAGGGCCAGTAACTACCTAGGCTGCACCCCCTGCGGCTGCTGCTTTTTCCGCAGCAGCAGCTGCAGCAGCAGCAGCAGCAGCAGCAGCTACGGCAGCAGCTGCTGCTGATCATGTTACTCATACTGCTGCAGCGGCCACTAGAGCTGCTGCTGCGAGGACAGAAGCTGCTTCTGCTGCTGCTGCAGCTCGTCCCGCAGCCGCGGCACAGCGGCTGCACTGCTAGCAGCAGCAGCAGCTGCAGCAGCAGCAGCAGCAGCAGCAGCGGCTGACAGCAGCAGAGCGTGTGGCTGCTGCTGCTGCTTCCTAAACCCTTGGGCCAGAGTTTGCTGCTGTACATACACCGCAGGCGCAAGACCTGCCTATACACCTAAAGCAGGAAAGTTCGGGTGTATGTACACCTCAGCGTTTCAGCTGCTGCTGCAGCAGCAGCAGCAGCAAAGGACAACAAAAAAGAGTAGTTGCAGCAGCTGCTGCTGCAGCAGCCCCTTTTTCACAGCGTTTGCTGCTGCTGCTTCAGCAGGACACACAGTGGGGTAAACAGCCCCTGCTGCAGCAGCAGCTGCCGCTGCTGCTGTTTGCGTTCCTTCTGCTGCTGCTGCTGCTGCAATGTTAATGCTGCTGCTGCTGCTGCTGCTGCTGCAGCAGCTAGCTAGAAGTCAAACAAATCAACAGCAAAGGAAGTGTCATTCGAGCCAGTTTCCCATTCTTCGTTTGCTGCTGTTGCTGCTGCTGCGCGGCCGCGCTGCTGCTGCTTGCGTTTCTTCTGCTGCTGCTGCTGCTGCACTGGCGGTGCAGCAGCAGCAGCAGCAGCAGCGGGCGACTCGCCCTGCGACTCGAGAGAGGAAGGGCTCCATAGGTCCGCCATGTCCACTTGCTGCTGCTGCTGCTGCTGCTGCTGCTGCTGCTGCTGCTGCTGCTGCTGTTCTTCGTCTTCGGATTCGTCATGCTGCTGCGCCTCAGTTTGTTCGCGTTGCTGCAGCAGCAGCAGCTGCTGCTGCTGGTCAACTATCGGCTCTGCTACCCCATCGTTGTCTTGCTGCTGCTGCTGCTGCTCCCCTTGCAGCAGCAGCTGCTGCTGTTGTTCACGCTGCTGCTGCAAGTGCTGCTGCTGTTCTTCTTGCTGCTGCTGTTCTTCTTGCTGCTGCTGTTCTTCTTGCTGCTGCTGTTCTTGCTGCTGCTCTTGCTGCTCTGTTCGGCCTTCCTTCAGGTTCCTTGGCTCAAGTTCAGGTTGCTCTTCCTGCTGCTGTTCGTGCTGCTGTTGCTGCTGCTGCTGCTGCTGTTGCAGCGGCTGCTGCTGCTGCTGCTGCTGCGGTTTTCGAACTCCCATTTGCAAGGCGCTGCTGCTGCTCCCTGCCGTGCTTGCTGCAGCTGCTGCTGCTCCTAGTAATCCGCTGGTGCTGCCTCGCCTAGCTGCGGCAGCAGCACCAGTTGCTGCTGCTGAGGGCAGCAGCAGCTGCGCAGCAGCAGCAGCAGCAGCGTCTGCCGACGGTGGCTGCGCTGCTGCTGCTGCTGCTGTTGAGCTGGCCCCCCTGCTGCCTCTCGCATTCCTGCTGCTGCTGCTGCTTGTGTTTGCAGCAGCAGTGGGTGCTGCAGCTGCTTCACTGCTGCTGCTGCTGCTGCTTCTGTTTCGAAGAGCAGCAGCAGCTAGCAGCAGCTTCTGCTCTTCGCTGCCGTTCCAGCTGCTGCTGCATTCCTTGAGGTCCTCATTCAGGTGTCTCTGCAGCAGCAGCAAGTTTTGCTGCGAGAGGAAGCGGCGCTGCAGCAGCGGCGCAGCAGCAGCAAACCAGCTGCTGCTGCTGCTGCTGCTGCCCAGCAGCTGCCGGGCCCGCCTTTGAGTCTTCCGTGCTGCTGCTGCTGCTTCCCGAAGCGCCTGAATCAGCTGCTGCTGCTGCTGCTGCGTCAGCAGCACGCCAAGTCGCTGAGTTGCTGCTGCCATGAACAGCGACATATCTTGCTGCACTTGCTGCGCTGTTGTCTGTGCTGCAGCAGCAGCAGCAGCAGCAGGAGCTCCAGTTGTTGCTGCTGCCGCTGCTGCTTCCTCCAACGGCTCCAGCAGCCGCAGCGCATGCAGCTGCCGCAGCGCCTGCAGCAGCAGCTGCAGCAGCAGCGGAAACGCCTCCCGCTTGAGCTGCAGCAAGAAAGCAAGAGCTTGCTGCTGCAGCTGCTGCTGCGGGTGCAGCAGCAGCAGCAGCAGCGCAGCACCTAAGCCGCAGCTCCACAGCGAGACGCTGCAGCTGTGTCGAATGAGAAGGCAGCAGTACTCCCCCAGCTCTGTTGCGAGTTGCTGCTGCAGCACACCCTGCCGCTGCTGCTGCTGCTGCTGCTGCTGTTGCTGCTGCTGCTGCTGCTGCTGCTGCTGAGAGAGACAGAGAGACAAAAAGCTGGCTACCCCTTCATCCCCAACAGCAGCAAACAAGAGGCTCGAGATTCCGTCTTTGCTTTGATCCAGTGCAAGCGTGCCTTTTGCTGCTGCTGCAGCAGCAGCAGCAGCTACGTCTGCTGCTGCTGCCCCTCCTCGCTGCTGCTGCTGCTGCTGCTGCTGCTGCTGCTGCGGGGCTGTGATGGTCACAAAGGCCTCAACTAGTGCGCGCTGCTCTGCTGCAGAATAGACATACGGAGATGCATGCGGCAGCAGCAGCAGCAGCTCGTGGGGCAGTGCAGCAGCAGCAGCAGCAGTTGCTGCTGCTGCAGCAAACGGCAGCAAGGACGCCTCAGCGCGTGCTGCAGCCACAGCAGCAGCAAAAAGGAGAGCAGCAGCAAATCAAAACCAAGAAAAGAAACGGAGACAAAAAGAAATAAAATAAATAAAAGAAATAAAATAAATAAAATAAATAAAATAAATCAAAACAAAAAAGATTTACCTAGCAGCAGCAAACAGCGAAGAGACACCAGCAGCAGCAGCAAATTCGTGTCCGTCTCTAACACGGCGATGCACAGCATAGAGACGCGCCGCCGCAGCAGCTCTGCTTCCCCCTGCAGCAGCAGCAGCAGCAGCAGCAGCAGCAGCAGCAGCAGCAGCAGCAGCACATAAATGAATGTGTTCGGGGGAAAACGCAGCGCTACCGGCTCAGCAGCAGCAGCAATAGCAGCAGCGCCAAAGCAAGCAGTTAAGGCGACAAGGAGCAGCAGCAGCTTTAGAAGCAGCAGCAGCAGCAGCAGCAGCAGCAGCTTTAGAAGCAGCAGCAGCAGCAGCAGCAGCAGCAGCAGCAGCGACAGTCGCACGAGCGCATCAGCAATGGTGGAAAATTGCGACTTCAGCCGCTCCAGAAGTTGCTGCTGCTGCTGCTCCCGTGCTGCTTCTGCTTCTGCTGCTGCTGCTGCTGCAGTGCTGCGCTTCTGTCGTTTGTTGCTGGCTGCTTCTGCTGCTGCTGCTGCTGCTGCTGCGTCGGTCTGTCCTTGGGGTGCTGCGTTTTCCATCTCGTCGTGCTGCTGCTGCTGCTGCTGCTCCTGCTGCTCGTGCTGCTCCTGCTGCTGCTGCTGCTTCAAGTCCCGCAGCTGCTGCAGCGTGTCTAAGGCTTGCTGCTGCAGCAGCAGCAGCCCCCCTGTCTGCTGCTCGTACAGTGCAAGAAGGCTTTCGACTGCAGCAATCACGGCACCGCAAGCTGCAGCAGCAGCAGCAGCAGCAGCAGCAGCAGCAGCAGCAGCAGCAGCAGCAGCAGCGTGCTTAGTGGCCGACAGTGAAAATCGCCAGGATACGCAGCAAACGGAAGCACAGCAGCAGCAGCAGCAGCAGCAGCAACAGCAAAATAGTGGATGTGGGGCTTACAGGGAATGGAGGGAAGTTGCTGCTGCTGTTGCTGCTGCTGGTCGGCGTGCTGCGCTGCAGCAGCAGCAGCAGCAACCATGACTCTCATGTGAAGGATGGACATTGCTGCTTCAGCTGCATGCGCCAGCGTTGCTGCTGTGCTGCTGCTGCTGCTGCTGCTGCTGCTGCAGAACCTCGCGAAAGCCACAAGTCTCCCTGCTGCTGCAGTGACAGCGGCGTTAGCTGCTGATGCTTTTGCTGCTGCTGCTGCTGTTGTTAGCTGCGGATTGACCTGCAGCTGCTCCACTGCTGCTGCTGCTGCTGCTGCGCCATCGGGAAGCACCAGCACCTCAGCCTTGAGAGCTGCTGCTGCTTCTGCGAAAGCAGCAGCAAGTGCTGCTCCCAAGTTTGCTGCTTCTGCTGCTGCAGCAGCAGGCAGCAGCAGCAGGAAGTTGCCTAGACAGCCCAGCGCTGCTTCTTCAGCAGCAAGACACAAAAGACCTGAAGTTGCTGCTTTCTGCAGCAGCAGCAGCAGCTCTGCAGTTGCTGCTGGGCTGCTGCTGCTGCTGCACACGAGGAGGGCGCAGCTGCAAGCCCCCGCTCCGCCTTCGTGCTGCTGCTGCTGCTGCTTGTGCCGCTGCTGCTGCTGCTGCTGCAGCTGCTGCAGCAGCAAAGAAGAAGCAGGCAAAGCTGCCATGGCCAGATGAGCCCCGAAGCAAGGCGGAGGCACTGTGGCCCAGAAGACCATCGTAAACAGCAGCACTTGCTGCTGCTGCTGCTGCTGCTGCTGCTGCTGCTGCTGGCACTTGTCCATCTGCAGCACAAAGGCAGCAACATTTGGCCCTCGGACACAACAGAAAGCAGCAGCAGCAGCTACAGCAGCAGCAGCAGCTACAGCAGCAGCAGCAGCTCACTTGAAGGCATTCGTAAAGTTGAGGCAAAGCCTCAAAGACTCGCTGGGAGTAATCTGCTGCCAGCCGCCGCAGGTGCTGCTGCTGCTGCTGCTCGTGCTGCTGCTGCTGCTGCTGCTGCAGCAACAAACTCCACGAGGCCGCTGCAACGCGGTCGCAGAGAAATGGCTTGTGCGTGGTGCAGCAGAGCTGCAGCTGCGCAGCGCAGCAGCAGCTGCTGCTGCTGCTGCTGCTGCTCTGTTGCTGCTGGTGGTGGGGCCCTGCGCCCTCGCTGCTGCTGCTGCTGCTGCTGCTGATGCTGCTGCTGCAGCCCCACAGCCCGCTATTCCAGTTTAGCTTCTTCATAGCAGCGCAGCAAAAAGAAAGAAGCAGCGTTTGCTGCTGCTCGCTGAGCACGTCGTCACTTAGCTGCTGCTGCTGCTGCAGCAGCAGCTGCAGCAGCAAATCAACTCTACGAACTGCAGGCAGCAAATCCCAAAACCCAATCACCACATTTGCTGCAAGAGAGTACATCAGGCAGGATTCACTGCCGTCGTTGCTGCTGCTGCTGCTGCTGTTGCTGGTGCTGCTGCTGCTGCTGCTGCTAAAGAGGTCTGTCTTGGGCAGGTAAGCGACGCAGAAATCTAACAGCGCATGCACGTCAGCCAAGCTGCTGCTGCTGCTGCTGCTGCTGCTGCTGCTGTCCCTGCAGCACAGCGCTCACAGCAGCAAACAAGAGCAGCTGCGCGCTGCGAGCAGCAGCAATAAGAGAACTAGCAGCAGCAGCAGCAAGACTTGAAGCAGCAGCAGCAGCAAGACTTGGAGCAGCAGCAGCAGCACTTACGGAGAGCAGCAGCGCGCAGCAACGGGAGCCGGCAGCAGCAGCAAAGCGATAACTGCTGCTGCTGCATGCACAACTTTTGCTTCTGCTGCCAGCCAGAAGACATCCAACAGCTGCCGCACTGCTGCATCCTGCAGCAGCGGCAGCACAGGTTGCTGCTCGTGCTGCTGCTGCTGCTGCTGCTGTGCTGCAGCAGCAGTCGCAGCAGCAAACGGCAGCAAGCAGCGCAGCGCTGCTGCAGCAACCGCAGCGTCTGCTGCTGCGGTCTGCAGCAGCACGAGCGGCAGCGCCTCTTCAATGAAGCTGCTGCAGTCTGCTGCTGCTTCTGCAGTCACTTCTTCCTGCTGCTGCTGCGGATTTGCTGCTGCTGCTGCTGCTGCTGCAGTGCTGGTCAGATGCGTCTGCTGCGCAAAGTCGCAAACTGCATGCGTCGCCAAATGGAAAAGCCCCAAAGCAGCAAAGATCTCGTCGCGCTGCTGCTGCTGCAGCTCATGCTGCTGCTGCTGCTGCTGCCGCAGCAGCGGCAGCAGCAGCGCGAAGGTCTCCTTCCGCAGCACCAAAGAAGGGGCAGCAAAGGGCAAGCCAGCAGCCTGGGAGCAGCAGCAGCAGCAGCAGCAGCAGCAGCGACGAGCTTTAAGCGCAAACAGCAGCAGCAGATAACACTGGAGTTATGGCAGCAGCTTCTGCAGATTAGCTGCTGCTGCTGCAGTTGCTGCAGCAGCAACGGACTCCTGTGCAGCAGCAGCACAAGCGCCACTACAAGACAGCAGCAGCAGCAGCAGGACATGCAGCAGCAGCAGCAGCAGCAGCAGCAGCAGCAAAACTCACCAAGGCTTTGAGTGCTTCTGCCCTAACGCTGGGGCATACGTCATCTGCTCGCTGCTGCAGCAGACGCAGCAGCTGCTGCAGCAGCTGCTGCAGTGCTGCTTCCTCTGCTGCCAGCTGCTGCAGCCGCTGCTGCAGTGCACCGCCCACGAGAGCTGTTTGCTGCTCTTCCACATGCTGCTGCTGCTGCTGCTGCTGCTGCTTGCGCTGTCGCCGCTGCTGCAGTTGCTGCTGCAGCAGCTGCTGCTGCTGCTGCACGCGGAATCGGCGGGCATCGCGGGATACATCTGCTGCTGCTGCTGCTGCTCCACTCAGCATGCCAACAGCTGCAGCAGCAGCAACAGCAGCAGCAGAAGCAAACAGCAGCAAATGGGCAGCAGCTGCAGCGCACTGCTGGACACTGGCGGCAGCAGCAAAGTGAAGCAGCACGAACGGCCAAGAAGCAGCAGCAGCAGCAGCAGCAGCAGCAGCAGCAGCAGCAGCAGCTTACCTGCAATTGTAGCAGCAAGCCTCAGTCGTCTTGCAGGCGACTGCGCCAGCAGCTGCAGCAGCGGCAGCAGCAGCGCGAGGCCGCTTACCGCTGCTGCTGCTGCTGCTGCTGCTGCTGCTGCTGCTGCTGCTGCTGCTGCTTGCTGCAGCTCTTCTTCTTGAACAACGAAGTGAAAGAAAGAACGGAGGGCGTTGCAGCTGCTCGTGCGAACAGAATGCTGCTGCTGCTGCTGCTGCTGCTGCTGCTGCTGCTGCTGCTGCTGCTGCTGCTGCTGCTGGGGGCTCTTGCGGCGGCTCTTGGGGCCCCCGTGGACAACGCCTGGGGACAGCAGCAGATCAGTAAGGGTGAGGATGTCTTGCTGCTGCTGCTGCTGCTGCTGCTTCTGCTGCCGAGAAGGCGTGCTGCTGCTGCTGCTGCTGCTCTTCCTGCTGCTGCTGCTGCTGCTGCTGCATAAGAGACGCAGGCAAAGGCTTGCCAAGGCTGCTCGTGCTGCAGCAGGAACTGCGGGGGGGTTCAAGCCGACAGCCTGCAGACAGAAACCCTAAACCCTAAACCCTAAACCCTAAACCCTAAATAGCGCATCACTGAGCTGCAGCGGAGCTTCAC